CCCAAATAAAATACTGCTCAGCTGGTGTGCAAGGCTTGGCGCTTTTGACTTTGGGCGAGGTGACCCTTCTAGCCCTTCTTGATCCCTAATACCTTTGCATGCTCACCCAACTGCACAGCATGTAAGGAATCCACTGAAAGAACGAACATGTCGACAGCGCGGCTAATAGCTGCAGATATTCTACGTGTTGACCAACTACATTCTCGGACCTTTGGGTATCCGGCCAAGGTCTGAGCTAAGTCCTGACATATAGGAAAGTATACTATATTAGAATACATTATAGTATACTATAGTATGTTATAATTAGTATATTATGGTTTCAGCTAGTATACTATACTATAGTAAAATGCACTATATTATAGTAAAACATACTACGTTATAGCATACTGTATTATAGGATTGTATATCCCACTAACATCCACTAACCAGCCCCCTTCCACACACAAGCTGGCTGACATAAGGCTGCGCGCCATGCTGAATGAATTCTTAGCTCCCGACCCCCAAAAAAATTCCCTAAAAAATGGAACCCCTTGATAATCCCCTAGTTTCCCCAATGTAGCTATGGGTTCATATTGGGGAGGTTCCATTTTTTGGATCCTTTAAGGGGGTCTGGGTTATTGTGGAAATCAAAAGGGATCCAAGCCTTACAAAAACCCATACCTTAGGTGGACATTCCCCACCCAGTGATAGTGACTATAAGGGATAATAGGGGTTTAGGGGGTTTAGGGTTTAGGGGTTTAGGGTTTAGGGTTTAGGGAATAATAGTGACTATAAGGGAGAATAGGGAGTATATTAGGGTCCTCTTATATTCTTACTATACCACTATTACAGGGTGGGGTCCTCCTAACCCATACCACTTTCCATGTTCTTTCCGTTCCTCGACTCCTTACTTACCACGCATCACATACTGCTTACAATTGCCAAGTTGCAAGCGTGGGATCTTCACCTTGCTGTGAAAGACTTGACCCATATTAAGGGATACTAGAATCCAGGGACCTACGGGGATTACGTACGGTTGGAAAAATGGAGTAGGCAAGTGACCGGCGTGACATGGGAGAAAACAGTGGAGTCCCATCCATCTTTCGCCTTGCATGCTAGGCACTCCTAGTAATGGTAGCTTTGGAGAGACTACCTCTTGTGGAAAGGCCTAGTAGTTTCCATGTTCTTTTCCTAGTTATCCCTACATAACCCCTCTATAACCCCCATATTTACCCTACTATGATATAGGAGTTTCCATGTTCTCTTCCATTATCCCTGCATTACCCCTATAAATCTCCAGTAGAGACTGTCCAGAATGCAAGTATTCCTAACCGGCTTTACAGAAATTCCTTGAAAACCTCAAGTCACGAAGCGAAACACAAAGGCGCCCTTTGGATCCTCCTGCTCGCAGCCCAGATGCTTCCCAGAGCACCTTGTGCGCAGCGGAGAGGCCAGGTTGGAACCCCCAAAATGAGGGTATAGGTTAAGGGTTTAGGGTATAGGGCTATATTACTATAACCCCAGTACTGTAAACTGCAAACTTCTTAAGGTCTGGAAGAAGAAGGACTCAGGATTCAGTGTGCGGCGCTGGGGAGCAGGGCGAAGATTGTTGGTTGTTCGATGTCAAACAGTGAGCCAACCTACCATGTCTGGATCCATTGGACTTGACAGGAAAACTTGAATGCAGAAATGGTGAGTTCACTGGCATGCCTACCTACACCCCCTTTAGTTTACCTTGTTGTCCTCCGCTGGTCAATTAGACATGCACTATAGACACATGCTCAGACAGCATGCCCATACCACCCCTTCTGACTACCCCTAATAACTTCGGGAAATATCCAAGATACTGCAAATAACCAAATCACCTTAGGCAATGTGTAGTACGGAAATCCAATGGGTTTGGAAGCATACCACCACGAGGACTTAGAGACGCTGAATTCTTTACTCTTCTCCTGAGGCCTAACCCTTAAGCCCTGAAGCTCCGAGGCACGCAAGCGCTTCCATTCAGCGCCCGCCTTTTTCCCTAGGCTCCACGCTGGCAGAGGTCAGGGGTCAGGGATGTCAACGGTTTTGGGGTTATGGGTCTGGGATGTAGGCTTGAAAGGCCGTAGTAGTTGCCTTTACCTGGACATACCACAATGGGCTTGCAGGACTCCTCCTGTCGGATGCAGGCGTAACTCTGAAACTCTGCTCTGTCTGCTGGAAAATTACACCGGACTTAGTCATAGCCCTCCCCTTGGCTTGGCAGCAGCCAGTGCTTGAAATTTGCTTAGATCCTAATCTCACCCTAAGAAGCCTTAGCATAGTGAAGCCCCTATGCCTCGACTGAAAGGGTTTTTTACACTTTGGAATGTCCAATCACAACCCAGTCACCGCGCTCACGAAGGAAGATGCTGTGGGCCTTTCGGAGAATCTCCTTTCCTCGTGGTTGAGGGCTTGGCGTTTTGAGTGCGGGCCTGGACCACCGGGGACTTGTTAGACTGGGTAGTTTCCTGCCCCGAGCTGTAACACGCAATACCATTGATGAACATGCTCATTTATCCCTTTTGTCTGATTCTCGTTTTGGGCCAGTGGACGGGGCATGCTTCACAAGAGGAGGAGTCTACTGCTTGGGGACATTGCTTCTCCCGGCGTGCAGTACGCCAGCGACGATGATGAAATGTGGCATGACTTGTATTGCCACCAATCAAAAGCAACAAACCTTACGATGAAAGCATTGGAAAAATCATTCAGGCTTCTCTGCAGTGGTGTCTCTGTGTGAGAGAACCCCTGCACTGTTCATAAGAAAATGCCATCATGAGTCTGCGAAGCCTCAGCCCAACCTCCGTGCAATAGAGCCAGCCGGTGCAAGCTTAGGAAGTCCGCTGTGCTACCGTTGTCGCCCTCCCTTCACGGGCCAAAGAGCCCCAATTGAGAAGTGGACCCCTGTACAATTCAGGGTCTATGAATGTACATTCCTTAGCTGCCCGGTCCCTTCCAAGGGTCTCTGCGGCTGCGCTGTGGGGGGCGGGCCACGTCGTTGAGCCGCCCGTGCCTCCCAGG